GCATATACCTCGGCCGAAAATTAAGGGCTTCCTATCTAGGCACTTGTAGGGCCACGGCCACGGGACTTTACGGTCGAGGGCTTTCAAGGCTTTAAGTTTCAAGGGGTTTAGGCTTTAAGGTTTAGGGTTTAGGAGTTTAGGGTTTAGGGGTTTAGGATTTAGGGTTTAGGGGCTTAAGCCCTAAACCCTAAGCCCTAAACCGTTCAGGGTTTAGGCTGAAAGTCCAGGACATTGGCCCTTGGTACGGCTCTCTTGGAGCCTTTTGCGGTGAATGGGGCGATGACAAGCACCTACTCCTGCGTTTGGTAGCAAAACCGAAAGCTTGAAGGCACCTTGTTATGGGTTCAGGATTTAGGGTTTTATGGTTGCAGGTCCGTATTTTTATGTCATCAAAAGTATTATAGGCTTCTTAGATCCTCTATCTACCTTCCATTCGGCCCGAATTACCGATGGTTACGTTTGGGACCATATATCCATGTTTCTCGGTGCAAGGAGGGTCTGGGGTAATTTGCCTTTTTCGCCCTGAATCCGAGAATCAAAAGGCCCTAAACCCTGAACCCTGAAACCCTGAAGCCCTAAACCCTAAAGAGGGATTCTTGTGTTTGTTAACCGTTTAGCCTTGTGTTGTGACCTTGTGGGTGCTACAGGCGGGTGATTCGTTAAGGGCTGTGAGGCTCTCTGCAGGGACGTTGAGGGGTTAGGGTTCAGGGTTTAGAGTTTAGGCTTCAGCATTCAGGGCTCAGGGTTCAGGGTTTAGGGCTTCGAGGGTAAGGGGCCTAGTAAGGGGTAGTTGTCAAAATCATGGTCTTTTTGGTGATTTCTGTAGAATTCTAGTCATTGTACGGCACCCGAAAGTTATAAACCCATGTCCTAGCTTGACAACCACCCAGATCGTTTGGGCTTCTAGGGCTTAGGGTTTAGGGTCTAGGGCTCTCGTCACGTACTAATTGTGTTAAGAGTTTGTTTCTACCTGTGGCACCCATTACCTACTGTTTGAAGGGCCCTGCCATCTCATGAACGGGTCACAACCTACCCCAAAACCCCTAAACCCTAAC